AGGATTGTCACTCTCTGTTTCCAGGTTTCAGCTCACCGTGGAAAAGAGCAGAGCAGAGGCCGCCGCAGAAGAAAAAGCTGCCATAGAGCGGAAGATGAGTAAAGGTGAGGAGCGGGTCCCAGCTGTAGGGAGGGGTGTCCTGTCCCATGCCGGGTGACCGGATCCAGGTTCACGTGCCGTGCCCGTGGGGCTGCTCTGAAGAACTTCTTTCTCTCTTGGTTCCAGGGGTCTCTGCCTGCAGTCTGCTGCAGAGGCGGAAGACACTTCCCCCCTCCATGCTGCTGCAGCGCAAGCCGAGCTCAAGGCAGCAAGATGTGGCGAAGGAGCCTTCTGCCAGGTGAGGGCCTTGGGCGAAAAGAAGGAGATGCGTGCGCTCGTGTAGGAGCGGCCTCCCCTTCGGAGCTGCCAGCTCTCGGCACCCACAAAGGCTCCTGACACACGTGTGTCCTGGGGGGGCTGTTCTCTCCGGGGCGGCAAGCGCGCAGCACGATCGCCTGAGGCAGACACACAGCTTCATGTTCCACCCTGGCCCCAGTCCCTGGGAGAGCTGAGTGCCGATCCCTACCGATGGCAGAAGCTCTTCTCCCTTCAGGGGTCTCTCCGCTCTGCACCGGAGCCCATCTTGATGGCTGTGGGAGCACGGGGGAAATCGAGGTGCCCCGGGCTCCTGCAGACTCCTCTTGTGTCTGTTTGCAGCGCGCTCCCGCCGTGTGCAGGCAGCTCCCGCGGGACGAAGAAAGCGGGACAGAAGGAAACATCTGCTGCCCAGACCAGCGCTGCACTCCCTGCCACCGAGGAGTCTAAGAGAGTGCTGCAGGTACCGGCTCTGCCTTGCTGCAGGGACTGTGCTGCTTGAGACTGCACCAATCATAGGATGGTAGAATCCTAGGAAAGTTTGGGTAGGGAGGGGCCATTCAGACCGCCTGGTTCCAATCCCCTGCTGCAGGCAGGGACACCTGTCTCCAGACCGGGTTGCTCTAAGCCCGACCAGCCTGGCCTTGAGTGCTTCCGCAGGGAGGGAAGCAAAAGCCTCTGTGTGTGCAGTGATCTGGAGCACAGCCCTTCGGGTGCCACCGTTTCACATTTCTGTCCGCTCCTTCACCTCCTCTTTGGTAGATGGAGGGTGCTGCACACTTTCCCCGTCTCTTCTTGCCTCCTGGCCTGCCACCTGCCACAGCACTCTGATTTTGAGCAGGGGCCGTGAGAGAGGAGCCACGTTTGCCACGAGTTGCGGATCCTGGCCTGCCTTTGGGGCCCCTGGTCCTTCAGGGGCAAAGCAGTGCTCACAGGCCGGCAGAGGCGAGGAGCGGGAGCGGGGAGCTGAAGGAAGGCCCCAGGGGCAGAGGCTGATCCTGTATGCTGCTGTGTCTCTGCAGGAGCTCCGCAAAGAGTCTGCGCTGTGGAAAGCAGACCACACGTGGCCCATGCACCAACAACAAATAGAGCGAGCACAGGCAGAAATGGCGGCATGGGAAGGCTGGAGCGCAGGGGAGGACCAGCATCCGCCCCAGGTACCGTCAAGGATCGACCCTGCTGGCAACAGCCACTGAGCCAGGGTGCGAGCTCAGCAGGGCGCAGGGGGTGGGAGCGGGACGGGCGCCGTGCAGCATGGCAGGGGCTGGCCCGCTCCTCCCGGGAGGAGAGCTTGGCACAGCCCCGCAGGGAGAAGGGAAGGGCAGCGGGAGCCATGGGCCAGCAGGGCTGAGTCTCCTGCTTGCCGGGGCCTGCTGCAGGGCCCTTGGCAGAGGGCCTCTGGGGAACAGCCCTGTGCTCCCAGCCGCTTTGCTGACAGCGTCTCCTCTTTGGCAGCTGCTGGCCAGGGAGAGCGTGCGTGTTCCGCATCCTCCAGCCCAGCCCAGGAGACAGCAAGTGCGAAGGAGATGGAGGAAGGATGAGGGTCTGCTGCCGGGAAGTATAATGGGGACGGCAACCAAGCTGACACTGCATGCTGAGTGAGTGTGTGTGGGCTCTGCCGGCTGCCTGAGGCTCTCGGGCAGCTGTGACTGCAGCTCAGGGACAGGAACGGCCCGGGCCAAAAACTGCTGGTGGGGTGCAAGGCTGGGGACACCGGGGGGCAGCAGGGGGTGCGGGGCCGGGTGAGGGCAGAGGCAGGGGCGGCTCAGCGGAGCCCGAGGGATGACTTTCTCCTCCTGTTGCAGCCTCCTTTCCCCACGAGCGGCTCAGGTGCTCCGAAGGTTGGAGCCGCACCTCCGTCAGCAAGAGGCTTTTGCCGGCACAGCGGAAAGAAACCGGCAGAAGCTGGAGCAGAAGCGGCACCTCCTCCGGTGAGCTCCGTAGGCAGCAGATCCCGAGAGCTGGGCTGCAGCCCGGCCTGCACCACTTGCCTGCGCGCAGCCCTAACGCTCCGTGCTCTTCTCGCCTCCCTAGGGCTGAATGCTCGCACGGCTCCAGAGGGGAAGGTGCAGCCATCGGTGGTGACCGCGGTGGAGCTCTCAACACGGGGGCTGGGAAGCCGTCCAGATTTCCACCTGTGAATGGAAGATCGTAGAAAACCAAAGACTCGTAGAACGGCCTGGGTTGAAAAGGGTCTCGAAGATCACCGCGACCGGGCTGCCCAGAGCCACATCCAGCGTGCCCTCGGATGCCCGCAGGGATGGGGCGTCCCCCAGCTCTCGGCAAGCTGTTCCAGCACGTCACCACCCTCCGTGTGAAGAACGCCTGCTGACATCTAACCAAATTCTGCCCCCCTTTCACAGTTTAAAACGATTCCCCCTTGTCCTGTCACCATCCGGCCTCGTCAACGGCCGTTCCCCCTCTACAGCCTCCCTTCAAGAACTGGAAGGCCGCAGTGAGGTCTCCCCGGAGCCTTCTCCTCACCAAGCTAAACAAGCCCGGTTCTCTCCACCTTTCTTGACAGGAGAGGTGCTCCAGGCCTCTGATCACCATAGGGGCCCTCCTCTGCACTTCATCCAAGAGCTCTGCGTCTTTCTTGTACCGGGGACCTCAGTTTTGGATGCACTATTCCCAATAAAAATGAATTGGCTTTATTTCCACTCAGTCTGCTGATGTCGTGTCTGTCGCCATCAACTGACGTGAGGAAGCTGGAGCCGTGTTTTGAGAGAGCAGTTTGGGTGGCAACGAGAGCCGCTGCCAAGGCCCGGCAGGACCATGCTCTGCAAGAGCGGGTGCCCAGGACGGCAGCCATCTCTGCCAGCCGTGCACGTTTCCTGTGCACAAGTCGTGCATCCCCTCGTATCCCCATCACTCCCTTCTGGCAACACAAACAGAAACGCTGTGGCAGAATTCTCTTGTGCCCAGCACCCAGACTCTGTTGAGCTGAATTCAGCCCGTGTGACACGAGAAAGGTTCTCGTGCCAGGGAAGGGAAGGGGGCAGGGGGGAGATGGTGTAATGGAAGAGAAGGGAAAGGGGGGAGGACAGCACGAGGGAACGTAAGGGGACCGGGGGGAAACACCCCAAGGGTGGGGAGGGGAAGGGAAGGGAAGGGAAGGGAAGGGAAGGGAAGGGAAGGGAAGGGAAGGGGAAGGGAAGGGAAGGGAAGGGAAGGGGAAGGGGAAGGGGAAGGGGAAGGGGAAGGGGAAGGGGAAGGGAAGGGGAAGGGGAAGGGGAAGGGGAAGGGGAAGGGGAAGGGGAAGGGGAAGGGGAAGGGGAAGGGGAAGGGAAGGGGAAGGGGAAGGGGAGGGAAGGGGAAGGGGAAGGGGAAGGGGAAGGGGAAGGGGAAGGGGAAGGGGAAGGGGAAGGGGAAGGGGAAGGGGAAGGGGAAGGGGAAGGGGAAGGGGAAGGGGAAGGGGAAGGGGAAGGGAAGGGGAAGGGGAAGGGGAAGGGAAGGGAAGGGAAGGGAAGGGAAGGGAAGGGAAGGGAAGGGAAGGGAAGGGAAGGGAAGGGAAGGGAAGGGAAGGGAAGGGAAGGGAAGGGAAGGGAAGGGAAGGGAAGGGAAGGGAAGGGAAGGGAAGGGAAGGGAAGGGAAGGGAAGGGAAGGGAAGGGAAGGGAAGGGAAGGGAAGGAAGGAAAGGAAAGGAAAGGAAAGGAAAGGAAAGGAAAGGAAAGGAAAGGAAAGGAAAGGAAAGGAAAGGAAAGGAAAGGAAAGGAAAGGAAAGGAAAGGAAAGGAAAGGAAAGGAAAGCGGGGGGAGACGCTGCAAGGTAACGGAAGGGGACGGGGAGCTGAAGGGAAGGGGAGCGAGAAGAGACAGAGCCGGGGGCTTCGGCGCTGACCAATGAGGGGGAGGCCGGGGGCGGGGCGGCTCCGGCGCTGACCAATGAGAGGCCGGGACGGGCCGCCGCCGTCGCCCCGGGCCGATGGCAGCCGGCGCAGCCTGCGTGCCGCCGCTCCCCGCGGATGAAGCGGCCGCTTCCGAAGCCGGGGCGCCACGGGAGCCCGGAACGGACTCGGAGGGGCGGGATGCGCACAGCGTCTCTGGGCAGCCCGTGCCAGCAGCTCACCAGCTTCTAAGGGAGAACTTGGAGCTGTGCGTGCGCCTGTGAACGCGCCGGGTGTTTATCGCAGCTCGCACCCGTCCTCCTCCCACCACCCGACTCCCGGGAGCCCGGACCCGATGGCTCGGCCGGACGGTGGCGAGACGTGAGGGTCGGCGGCGCCCCCACCGCCCGGATCCGCCCCGCCGATCAGCCTCGGTTCCTTTGTCTTTCCCGCCCTGTTTTTTCTTCTCGGCTCAACTATTCTCTTTGGACACTTGAACTCTTACCCATCATGAGCAGAGGGTGAGAAATCTTACTCAAAATCCACAACGACAAACGATGCTTCCGTGCTGATTGCATTCCGTGCCACAGAACGGCCACAAACTCCGTCAGCCAAGTACTGGCAGAAAAGAAGAGTGCCGGTCTATCTGAGCCAAAGCCTTGCCTGCACCCTCAGAGCCAGCTGACTGATGCAAAGCTATGGGCAGCTCCCTGCTACAGGCGGTCTGGTGAAATTCAGTAGACAAAGACCATTTGCAGCCCTGGATCACAGCAAGTGCCTGAGCCCCTGTGTTATAAATAATAAAATGATGGACCAGAAATTTAAGGAGTCAATTGTTGAATTTATTAATTATAATGAGCAAAGAACAAAGAGGCAATGCAGCGCTGGGCGACAGGGGGATCTCTGTCCTGCCAACTGCCGCGCCACCCGAAGATTGGGGCCGTTCTTTTATGTGGTTCCAAATGACTGCCGTGGTATTTCCAGGGTACTCTGCGCATGTCTCATTTGTTGTTACTGGGGTCTTCAGCTATTCTTTTGTTGATGCTGTAACACCCCCTTGCTTCTAGTTTCAAAAAAGAAAAAATACTGCCTGGGCAGTTGTATCAACATTTAATGAAAGATTTACTACATCCCGATTATTCTTGTCTCGAAATATTTACTACCTCCTGGTTAATGAGCAGACACATTTATCACAAGGGAATTCTGTGTTCCATCAACTGTCACAAGGTTTGAGCCAATACCTGCTCTTTTATACCGTTCGTCTGTGCATGATCCGGCTGTTGCTAGGGGGTCTTCTCCTGCCTCCCGGTGGTCGTATGGGTTGAAGTAAGTAGTCTTCCTCCGTATCCTTTTCTTGACCCCTTCTGGTGGTTCCCATTTATGATATGTTGCTCGTATGAGCTCAGGTTTGTGTTTTCGCAAGCTAAGCTTATTAACTCTGGGCAAACATTCCTATCTTTTTGACACCCTGGACTACTGCGAGAGCATTTCACAGTCATTGCTGCGCTGGGCTGCACTGCGATTAAAGCAAGGAGGGAAAGCAGTGTTGCCTAACCATAGCATGGTTGGATGAGATGGAATGGAAACTCTTAAAAGCCAACAGCGCCTTTGTAAATGCCAGCAGGGTGATGCTCTCAGACACACAGGTATTCTTACCTGAGACAGACAATAAAGTGCATTTCCTTTGCATCTTTTTCTTTACCAGTTTCAGATACCAACGGGGACCAGGATTTTGGGATCTGGACACACAGAGCCTCACTCATGCTCCGAGACCCCAGCAGTATTGCTGCATGTTAAGGCAGGGCTTAGAGCACAAAAGTCCCCCACATCTGAAGGTGTGCATCAAGGGACTGGTCCAACAAACAGACACAAATGGCACATCATGAGAATGGCAGAATCTGGCTTAGTGCCTCCACTTCTCCAAGCTTAAAGGACAAAACATTTTACCATCATTTTCCTCCCTTCAGAAGTCTCAACCTTTTGGAGTCTCACCCTGTTTAAGCCTCAGTAAAGTAAAAAAACAGGGGTGGGGGGAGCATCTCTGTGCCTCCTTCCACCAGCTGACAACACAGCAGTTCTTAAAGCAGCAGATGTTCAGTGACTGCTCACTCCCTCTTATTTATGTGCTTGTACAAGTGCTCGGCGCTCGCCTGTATCGTTACGATGTCGGCAGTGACAGCTGGCAATGGAAAATCTAAAGTAACACCTGCAGCATTCACTTTTTTTCTGCACCGCGCGTGTCGGTTTCTTTAGCACCAATAAGTGGCATTACACAGCCTCATTAAATCCACACACCTGTGCAGTCATTTGCAACTTATGGATAGCTGCTGACGCAATGTTCAAACCAACAGCTCTGGCTCACACCTTTCTGTTCTCCTCATCCATCTCCAAGCCGCCAGAAGAGCAAACAGCAGCAAAACCCCGCAGTCAATATTCACTGAGATGCCCTTTTACAAACGCCGGGGGCACTTTGGAGCTGCTCTCCACAGATGCTCACCAGGTCTGGAGAGCCATCAGCTGCCCCAGGATATCAGAGAGCGCCAGGAAGCACTGCTGCCCAAACCTCAGGCTGCCCGACCCAACTCCCACGAACACAGCGCCACTGGAAGCTCAATTCCACCTTGGCTGCAACTGCTGCACGTCAACCTGTGGTCTCCCTGGGGGAAGGCTCTGTTGGAAGCTGTTTACATCACCGGCTGCTTTCCTCTATGAGGAGCTGCTATCTCTGCCTGAAATTAAGACTGCTTGACGTTTCCTACCATAAGCCCCTGTTTTTAACTCGTTTATCCCTTTGCCAGTAACGGTTTAGGCTGAAATTTGTAGGAAACATTGTCTGTGGTGTGAAACTGCCATCAGAACAGTTTGACTTCTTTCACAAAGAGACTGCAGAGAACACCATCGCTGGTTCTCAGCTTAAAGTAGGTCTGATCCAGGACTGGTCAAACTAATCAAGCCTGTGTTTTTCTACAGATTTGTACCCAGTCTCTTTCAAACCCTCTTTCCTTTCAGTAATCCCCATTTAGGTACCTGCTACCAAACAGAATGAGCGAGATCTGAGTTGTACCCATTTTCCCTCGCTGATGAAGGCCGTCAGTCACAGGGGATCCTCTGACCATGCCCCAAATTTCATCTCACCGCCACACTTCTACTGTGACAAAGAAAAGTAACGTTCAGAGAAACACTGCCCTGACTGACTTTGGTTCAGAGGATGGACGATGTCACTTTAAAAATCATTACTGCCATGAAAAGGAAGAAAAATGTGAATAAATAGATAAATACATTGGCATCCTGAGAGCTTTGCTAAAGCTCTTTCTAGTGCACAACTCCATCAGCACGCTGTGCGCTGCTCACGGCACACGAGCTCAGAGGGGTAATTATCCACGGGTTGGAAGCCAGTGTGAATACACAGAATCACAGAATCACAGAATTGTAGGGGTTGGAAGGGACCTCCAGAGCTCATCGAGTCCAACCCCCTGCCAAAGCAGTTCCCTATAGCAGGTCGCACAGCTCGGCATCCAGGCAGGTCTTGAACATCTCCAGAGAAGGAGACTCCACCACCTCCCTGGGCAGCCTGTTCCAGTGCTCCGTCACCTCACTGTAAAGAAGTTCTTGCGCACATTTGTGTGGAACTTCCTATGCCGCAGTTTCCAGCCATTTCCCCTTGTCCTGTCTCCACTCACCACTGAAAAGAGTCTGGCCTCACCATTCTGCCCCCCACACCTTAGATATTTATAGACCTGGATCAGGTCCCCTCTCAGTCTCCTTTTCTCAAGGCTGAACAGACCCAGTTCACTCAGCCTTTCCTCATAGCAGAGATGCTCCAGGCCCTTCACCATCTTCGTGGCCCTCCGCTGGACTCTTTCCAAGAGATCCTTGTCTTTTTTGTACTGGGGTGCCCAGAACTGGACACAGTACTCCAGATGAGGTCTTACCAGGGCAGAGTAGAGGGGGAGGATCACCTCCTTCAACCTGCTGGACACGCTCTTTTTAATGCACCCCAGTAAGCCATTGGCCTTTTTGGCCACAAGGACACACTGCTGGCTCATGGCAACCTGTCATCCACCAGGACACCCAGGTCCCTTTCCGCAGGGCTCCCCTCCAGCAGGTCATCCCCCAACCTGTACTGGTGCATGCAATTATTCCTCCCCAGATGCAAGACTCTACACTTGCTTTTGTTAAACCTCATCTGGTTTTTTTCTGCCCAGCTCTCCAGCCTGTCCAGGTCTTGCTGAATGGCAGCACAGCCTTCAGGCGTGTCAGCCAATCCTCCCAACTTCGTATCATCACACTGTTGGTCAGCACAATGCTGTGCTCGCTGCTGCTTTTTGTTTAATCCATTGTAATTACTGTGGATCTATTTCTGCTAATAACAGAGAGTGAACTGGTTCTGGTCAGATAGATTTCTGGATACGGAAAATGAGCAGAACATCTGAGAGAACTTACTGTGTTACCAGAAATATTTACAAACGGCTCTTCCTTCCCTCGGCTGGCAGCACATCCCAGCACTGAGGAAGCAGCACGGATGGCTTTTGAAGGGATGGAGAAAGCCAAAGTCCACTTCTCCATCGACCTGAGAAAGCAACGCCACGGGGCTCCAGCAGAAGCCCAGGCTGGTACTGCTCCCAGAGTAACAACTGCCCCCTTGACGGAAGGCTCGCGTGAGTCTGAGTGCACCGTGCACCAGGCACAAACCAGCCTCTAGGGACAATGAGAGGCCACCGTGCCATGGCAGCAGAGCACCTGGAGGCCTGGGGTACCTTTTGTGCCACGAGATGTGATTCCAGGACTGTCAGTCCTTCCGGCCGAGGACAGCGATGTTCTACACAGGCTTGACGCCAACGTGCACCAAGAGCAACGCAGACTCTGGGCTCGACTGACAGCAGCGCAGCCTTCTCCACAGCACGCAGCCCTGTCCCAGTGCATCTGTATCAGCAATGTAGAAACGAGCATTAGCACGAGGAGAAGACACACATATAGACCAACCAGGAGCTGCAGCTTTCCTCAGTTTGTGACAAGCCCTTGGCTGGATGCTGGGATGCTCCCCACACACAGCCAGGCACTTGCAGCAAGCGCCTTGTGCCCATGGGCAGAGAGCTGCAGTAAGGCACAACGCTGGGCTGAGCAGGCATGTTCCAGCTCACAGCAGCAATGGAAGGACATTGTGCAGGAAAACAAAAAGCCTCAAGGAAAGGATTAGTGGTGTCATAAGTTAAACACCTCCTCCCTGATGACATACAGGATTGGGTCAGCTGTGCAGACAAGCGAGAATGCTGCAGCACGGAGTGAGAAACAAACTGCTGCCTCCAGTAGCATTTCAGATAACAAGCAGAAGACTAGCATACAACAAGCAGCATTTTAAGAGCTTTCCCGTAGAGGACAGGCAGAGATTTGTCAGTGTGTAACTGCACACCGTTTCTACTCTAGATCTCCTCCTTGGCTGCTTTAACTTACCCAGCAGATTTAAATGTAAGAAATAACACTAAACTTCTCCTTATAATCAGCCTCCAAAATCTTGCAGCTCTTGCTTCACAGTTCCAAAAACCAAAAGCTAGGAGAGCAGGTTGCAGTAGTGATACGCTGTCATTAAGAGTCCACTGCATTACAACAAACGATGCCAAAGGACCTGAGCAACAGCTCTGCCTCACTGTCTTAAAAACAGACAGCCGGGGTTTGGTGACAGTGTGAACAACCAACCATCAGACCATCACTGGTCTTAAAAAAATAAAAAATGTATCCTTTTAAAAATTACCTTGATCCACACTAAATACACAAATTGCTCAGATGATCATGGCGTCTCATAAGCACGGGATACAGCCAGAACTTACTGCAGGTTATTTGAGCACTTGCTCACAGCGAGCAGAAAGTAGCCTGGAGCCTGCTGAAAGAACTGCCAAGAAAGAATGAGACAGAGATATAAATCAGATTTATGGGCTGTCCAGCAGACTTTACATTCAATTCTCTCTTGTCATGTTCTCATTGAGTGCAGGCACTCACACAGCCCTTCTTGCAACGGTTCTGACCAGAAACGGGTCAGACCCAATCACCCCGGGGCCACATTAGATCTTAAGGTGCAAAAAGGCAGCATGCATACTCACAAGTAGACACACAATTCTACACACCACACGTGATGCTTCATTTGTCTGCTTTCATGTGTGTACCAGATCCACTCATTTCCTTCCAGAAAAACCCAGAATGTAAATGCCAGCAACAAGTGCAGTTTAACACAGGCTCCGGGGAAAAGAAAGAAAGGCAGGACTTCACACACGTTTGTGGGAAAGAGAAACCATTCAAGTGAGTGAGAATAAACTTCCAGTGCTGATGCTTTGTAACATGACTGTGCCAGATGAGACATCTTCACAAAGACCACAGCATGTGCTATTGATTCCATGACTCACTATTTCTAGT